TCTGGAGAATCCTTGTCTAACTTTCCACTTAGAACTTAGTCTCTGTTGAGTGATATGCATATAATCTCTTCCATGGTTTCTGCTATTATCTCTAATCTGGATCTCCACAAAGCATATGGACCTGATGGCATCACTGTAATAGTCCTTAAGAAATGTGCTCCTGAACTGTCACCTGTTCCCTCTAACTAAACCCTATAATAAATGTCTCGCTGCCTTTTGCTTTCCTGCTTGGAAATCCTCATCTGTTCTTCCAGTTAGTGGCTGAGAGAGTGGAGTGAGTGAGAAAAACTCCCTATCCATATATATATATATATATATATATATATACCCTACTCGGCGATGATAAACTGGAGAAGTATGGAAAGAGAAACTATTTTTCTACCAGGAAAACTCGCTTTCTCGCCAGTTGTTTATTTGTCAATACACAAGGCCAATGAAAATGTACCTGAAAATCTTGCTTCTTTTTTCTTTTGTGTGGGACTTGTGATCTGGAAGTGATTATGTCAAATATATATTTCAGAAATCTGATCTATTTCCAATAACCTGTGTGGTTGGTTTTAGTTAAATATTTTCTTTTAAATTTTAATTTTACTCGTAACTTATTCTCTTATTCTACACACAAAAAGTTACAAGTAAACAATTTAAAAAATAAAAATTTTATTCAGGGGAAAATAAAAAGGGATCGGTTTGAGTGCTAAATGATTCAAGTTTTTTAGCAATGTTATTTCATTCGTTTTATTTTATTCAAATTTGTTAGTGACTATAAAGTTATAAATATTTAGTCAAATTCTAATGGTCTGGTGACTTTATTCTATCTTTCACGCAGAATGTCTTATCGGTAGTTTTTCTACTTAAAAATTGTTTTTCTTTAAATATATTTAATGATGAAAAATAAATCATATATATAAAAAATATTCCCTTGATGAAATCGCATGAAATACATCATAAAGACTTTGTTATATAGGAATAAAGTGTCGCTGCCAATACTTAAGCTTGAACATCGTGAGCAAACACAGGCGATCCCATTTTTGAATTAAGTGGATCACGTTACCATAGAAGAAACGCATATATATTAGCTAGGGGATGTATGCTCATTGGCCCATTTTTTTTTTTTTATTTCTGTCCCTACTTTTCTTTTGTTTAATTCCCCATCCTCTCCCACATTAAGTGGTTAGTGATGTTAGTTCTCTTGGTAGATGCGGGACCACTTTCATTTCAGGTATGAATTTAGTATTTGTTGTTGTGTTTGATTGAGTGTGTGGTTGAGTGAGTGCTTGGGATGAATGAATGTCTTATATTATTCAAGTCTCGTAAACTGATGTTTCTGCCACGTTTACAGATTGTGATTGTGAGTGAAGGGGGGGTATTACTAACACTATTTTGTTTAGTTTCTTGTATATAGTTTGTTCATTTTTGTAAATATTCATTGGGGTTAGATTTTTAAATTTGTGGTTTTATTCCCCTCACCCCCCCCATAGACAATGAATTGTATATAAGGGAACTAGTTAGTACTTTCATGAAGACCACGAGGTATTATGGTGGATGTAGTAAGAATGCGTTTTGATGTAAGGAATATTGTTGTATGTTTGTGTCAGTGTTTGTGGCTAGCTAAGTTTAACGTTAAGACAAAAGAAGACCGTCCTTTTTTCTCCATTCCTCATTTCGGCCTTGTGCCACATTTTGTATTTTTACAAATAAATATTATCGCTATGGGATGTATGAATATTTTATATTTTTTAAATCCCGCATTTATTTCGTCCAGTTAACTGATGTTTCTGTCACATTTAGTCTTTGTGTGTGTGTGTTTGGGGGGGGGGCATTACTAACACTATTTTTGTTTAGTTTCTTGTATATAGTTTTGTACACATTTGTAAAGACTAAATACTCATTGGAGTTTTTAGATTTTTAAATTGTTATTTTACCCCCCCCCCAAAAAAAAAACAATGAATTGTACATATGTACATATGGGGACTAGTTAGGACTACAGAGAATTTCTGAGTCATTATGGTGGGTGAGGTAAGAATAGTAAGTAAGAATGCGTTGTTTTGGTGAAAGGAAATACTGTTGTATGCTTGGGTCAGTGTTTGCGGCTAGCTACGTTTTACGGTAAGACAGAAGAAGACCATCCTTTTCCCCATTCCCCTTTTTGGCCTTGTGCCACATTTGTACATCTCTGTGCGATAAATATCGTTATTTCTTCTATTACTATACGGATCGCTATTCTCTTCTCTATACTATTCCTCTATTCGTATCATTATACGGATTACTATTCGAGCGAGTTATTATCGGGCAAGTCCTATTAGTACGAGTTGTTATGCAACATTTAAAAACAGAATATTAAGTTTTATCCGAATATATGTTTTTATTATAATTAGTTTTTTTTTTTTTTTTTTTTTTTTCAATCTTAAATGATCTTACACTGCTTTGTGGACTTCTTATTTAGCTGCGTAAAGTGGAGTAATGGATAGCGTTTCGGATTGAGGAATAGGTACGCCGAGTTCGAATTTCAGTGCTAATACCCTTGGGGAAGGTATGAATCCTCTTCTACCACACTAGCTATGGACAGATCGGGTTGGATGGCAACTGGTCTACCGCAGAAAGAAATGGCAACCTACTGCGGGAAAAATCTTCTTAGTATCCTGTATCGAAAGATATGTGATAGCCTGCTTGTATCACGCATGGCATTAAAAGAGAAAAAGAGATTTGTTATTAGTGACTAACCTAAAAAAAAAAGTTTTTAAAAAGAACTGCTGTATCATTGGTTGATCTCATCCAACCGTAATAAATTCGTATTCAGCATTCTAAAATTATAAAAACTGAATAAACATTCAAAGAGAAGTAAAGAAATGACATGAAAGTAATAACGCCGCGAAGTTAGAAAAGCATTTTTACAAAAATGAAAATTTTTGACCCTGATTTGGCACAAAAGGTAAGATGTTTGTTTATAAGAAAATTTAGTTATTTATTTAGTTAAAATATCACTCGTAAGCGTTTATGGAAGCTATTTGAGAGAAAGTTAATTTGTAATCCAAATTTATCATACACATTATTTGTAATTGCTGGTATAGTAATTAATTTGATTTAATTTTGTAACTAGTTAAATGCACACTCTCACGCACAAAACATTCGTGCGACTGATTATTTTCACTTTTCAAATTTATTTATTTTGAGTTATTTCTGTAGAGGACCGTGTGGGTTTGAGTGTTATTGAATTAGAAACATGCTGTTTATTTCCTGCTAGAAGGTCCACTAACAGATCATGGCGGATTTAGAAATTTGAATCCACCATAAAGACATGTAAAGAAAACAAACAAGACAGAATATATATATGTCAACAAATATATGTATTAAACAACAAATTTACAAGTGACAAAGACAAACATTTGTGTTTGTGTGTGAATGTAAAAAGTTTGTATTTTGGTGAATGTTCGTACGTACGTGTGTGTTTCATGGCGTTTTCCCACAAGTAGGCAAAATGCTGATTTCCATGAGAGATCACATTTTTAAATGTCTCCGCTGAAATGCAAAGTGAAAAGAGAACGAGGCAAGGGGTTGCCCAGTATTTATAGCGTGGGGAGAGCGACTCTTAGTGAACAATTAGGGAATTAAGTAAGAGCTAACTCTGACATAACTTATGTTACACGTATGTTTGTTTTGCTTGTTTACTTTTTAATTTGTAAGCAATTCCTCCAAATTAAAGATTCAAAAATATACTTGCGGATTTTCTTAATTAAAGTTTAACCACAGAAATGCTTCTTTCACTCTTACAATTGGAACGGCAAGTACTATCTCTGATGAGACTTGTGTCCATGACTGGAGGCGTACATGTGAAGACCTAAATTACAACTAAATAACAATAACTTGTCAGTAACATTCAGTAATTAGTTAATACCTAATATCAGGAAATGGCTCACGCTTACATCGACTTATTTTCATAAATGCAAATATACAAAAAATAGAATAAAAATAAACTCTTCTACCATAAAATAACTAAATGCAGAAAAATCACTTTATTCGCCATAAATTAGACATTTTTGTTCGATGATATTGCAATGATTTTCTGTTTTGTTTCTTTATATTTATCAGTGACTGTCTTATTTCTCCTACAGATCGACAAAGAAATTCAATGGATTCAAAACAACATCTCTATGAGAGTATGCACAACTTTTGTGCCTAAAGATGACAGAATGTAAGTTCATATATTCTGACTTTCTACTGCTGCTTTTGTGCTTAAGTTAATTTACATTCAGATTTAAGTTTACAGATCTATACGAAGGTATACTGAAAAATTCTCGGTTATACCTACCTCGCAAAACCTCAGCAAATGTCAGATTTTTGCAGGAGAGTGGTTTCTTGATCAGTAGAATTTTTCAGTAATTCTTCATAAAGAGCACGCAATCTCATATGCATTCATAAACTAGTTTTAGCAGTGTAGTTGTACATCAGGCACTACCACCAAAAATCATTTTTGTCAATTTGTTTTTCATATTACTATAGATAGATTATGCCCTATGTACATATGTGTGCGTGTATATTTTATAAGGGGTCTGGTTTGGTACATAAATCCATTGAAAATTGATCCCCACTCCCTACGAAAGCCAAAAACCAATATGTTCCTCCTTCCGTCATGTTTTCTTTAAAAAAAAATATTGTTTTACAATATGAAATGTATGAACCCGTCTCTTCTCCCCTATCTATGGGTTAATTAGTAGTACTTGTATCACTAAACCATTATTATCTCAAAAAGAAAAATATTATACAATCTAAAAGTATTTTCTGGCTTTAAATAACCTGCAAAGGGTTGATAAGCCGTAGAAAACGAATTAATCAAAATAGTGACTTATTTTAATCTTAAAACAATTTTACAAATTTCTGTCTGTATTTCATATTGTCCTCATTTTGTTAAAAGAGAATTCTGTATAAGGTCATATTCTGGAAACATTAATAATAATCAAACTGACAGTGCTTTATGAAATGAAAAAAAAATCTATTAAAAAGGCTTACGGCCATATCACGTTGAAACATTGGTTCTCGTCTGATCGCCGAAGTTAAGCAACGTTGAATCTGGTCAGTACTTAGATGAACGACCTCTTGAGAATAATAGATACATGTCCAGGGATATATAGTCTAGTTCTTATTTAGTACGGGACGAGCAATAAATGATCAGTACTAAATAAGAACTAGACAAGACAGAACGGCTGAAACGTTAATGTAAGGAATGAAGACTCTTTAAATCTTAATATCGGAGTTACCCCACCACCCACTTTTTATTATGTTGTACCGAGTTTGCAGCATTCCTTACTTTTTTTTCTTTGAAAATTTACTCAAAAACCAACTAAGTTCTACATATCCTTCGAACAAGACATTTTTTGTGCACAAACTTGTATGGAAATCCAGGAGTTTATATTCATCTAGTTATTCAGCTGTTTAGTAACTACATGCCCATGCTGATTTGTGCCTACTGCATTTTTCACTAATAAATGGGTTTGTGTAGTGTATGTACCTACTCGTCGACTTGTACACATGTATTAACAATATACGGTTGACTGAATAAAGTTGGCAAATAAGAACAAGTTAATTTCATCCAAAAAAACAAAAACAAACTCAACTAGAACAAGTGAATAAGTTCAGTCTGAAAAGGCTCTTCCCAAACGAAAGGAGGAGGTATTTATGCACTCTTAACGAAAGTAAATTTATCACACGGCATAATTTATTTAAGTGGTAACCCATGCGTGCTCCCATCAGCATATTTCACGAAGACATCAAAAAGTCATAGACGTTTATAAGAAAAAACAAATGCCGCGTGTTTGAGAGTTTTCAAGTTCAATATTTCGGAACATAAAACAAAAGTAATTAAAGTTTTATTTTTACATGGGGAATTTAATGTAAAATGAATAAATAAGTTTTATATCTTGGCAGACCCGGCGTTAGGGTCACGACCTCACAAAATTTTCATACGCACAAATAATCAAGAGGCAGAAGTAAGTAAATTGAGGAAACTGACCGGCTAGAAGATCTATATACTTTAACTGTGACTAAATGTTAAAAGTCCTTGGAGGTTAAGTTTGCATGTAAGTCAACATTTCGAAAGTTCAGTTCACAAGTCGGGCGAAAGTGTTGAAAAGTTCCTAGTTAAGTCCAATAGTGAACCTTCCGTAATATTTTAACCGAAGTGTACGGAGTAGTTTATTTGAAGTATGGACGATAAAGCCAAAGAGAAGAAATTTCAATTTAAAAGCCCGGTGCTGGCATTTCGTAGTTGCTAGTTAATTGTACGGAATAGGCTATATGAAGTCTGGACGATATACACGCAGTAATTTCCTGAACCAGGTGAGTTAAGTTGGCAGCAAAGCCGGAAGCAGAGACCTAGTGTAGCCGGGATTTCAGGACTGTTGTAAGCAGGTCCTTTAATGTCGATCAACCAATAGAGTTAGGTCGAGATAGTGATACCAGAAGTAGGGAACATGGTGTAGCCGGAATTAATAAAGGCCAGGAATGCCGGAAGATAAGGATCCCAGGTAGCCGGAAGTAGTAAGGCCAAGAATGCCAGAAGTAAGACTTCGTGGTAACCGGAAATAATAAAAGCTAGGAATGCCGGAAGTAAGGATCCGAGATAGCTGGAAGTGAATAAGAGCAAGAGTGCGGAAAGTAAAAGTAGATAGGAAAGCTCAACTCGCGTCCAGTTGGCAGACAAATATAAGAGGAATGTAATTCAATAACACGCCAAAACGCCACAATGGCATGTGTTTTTCCTGTTCTTCGTACCCCTCGCAAATTCGGCGAGAAGTCGCCGGATTATATGATAAGAGAGTTTAAACATTAACACTCCTGCAAAATACTAAAAATCTCAAGAAAAATAAATTCAAGGGTGCTACAAAATATAAAAATTACAAAAATGTCCACAAAGTGTATTCCGATTCGGTTTGTAACAGCGAGAGAATTAAAAGTCGTTAGGCTTATTATAAATCTAAATGAACTTAAAACTTAAATGAACTTAAACTGAAGGGAGCGGGAGAGGCAGAGAAGAAAAGTTCAAGGTCATGAAGACATAACGTCTGCCCTTGGTCACATGGACGGAGTAGTGAAGGGATACGATATGGCTGACAATGTAACGTCACTTTAAAAATAATTTTAAAAAATGGCAGATGGCCATAGAACAGTGCTGTGAAAAAAAAGCAGAGGTCACAAGGGAACCCCCCAAAAGCTCCTCCCTCCACCCCAATCGGGGTGAGATGCGCCGCCCATGTATCTTGGCATTATACCTATACATATGTATGTGTTTAGGAATATATTATTTTGATTCGTCATTGTAGCTTATGTAACAGCGTTTCCCCTATTGAGGGGTGTTTGGTCGATTTGAACCTTTTAAAGCACTTTATTCTACATTGACAAGACAAACAAAACACTTTGTAACACCAAAGGTGAAATGACGGTAAGGCTTACGGCAGCATTAAACAAGGATATCGTCTAAAAGACTAACAAGGATATCGTCTAAAAGACTTGAAGGAGATTCCGAAGTCGCCTGGATGCTGTGCATGAAACCAGTGGCTATGATATTGGATGAAATTTACGCTTTAGAATTTCAAGATAATTTTATTTTGTAATTTGGTAAAGACAACTGTTAAAATGAGATGTCATTAATAATATTGCATGAAATAAATGACAATTTATTCAACGCACCTTTGTATATATATATATATATGTGTGTATGTATATATCCATATATATATATATATATATATATATATATATATATATATGTATGTGTATATATGAATATACATGTGTCTCTATATATATATATATATATATATTGTGGATTCCATCCCTGGAATCCTGCACAAATAAATAAACAACGCCAGTAATTGAAATAGAAAAATATGTGTATTAAACGTAACAATACAAACTTGAAATGAAGATTAGTAATCCAGGAATGCGGGTTAGTAGAAAAGTATATGTACAAGTCTCTCTAAGTGAAGCCGTAATTATCACTCTTCCGGACTTTCGTATAACTGAGTGAACACCCTGTCTCGACGTTTTTGTCATGCTATCTCTCCGTAGTATAAGTATACTTTGGACGAGTCCATCTTGTGTACAAGAAGCGAGCCCCACAATAATATATATGTATACGGAACGGAAGCTCTACTAATAAAAAAGGCCAACTTTGAAAAATATTAACTACGAACTGGTCCAGAAGGTGCTAAGCGTGTTCGGAAAATAAAACATCTGTATAACACTCTAAAAACATACACATATCGTACACACTCAAAAGAAAGCACTTGTTTGAACACTTGGAAAAATAAAATAAAAAGCTTAAAAGTACTACCTTGTCGGTCGTTTTTAATGAAACATGCATGAATGAAGAATTGCTGCCTAAATACACAATGTATATATATATATATATATATATAAATAAATGACAATAGGAAAACTGTAGTTATTGCTGACGCGTTTCGTCCAATGTGAAAAAACGAAATGAATTTAATTAAAGAAAATAACTAATAATAACAAAAAAACAGAATGTTCTTAGCAACTGGAAGAATGTAGAGAACGCTATTTTCATATTATTAACTGAAAATAACGTCAGTTACTGTCACGTGTGGAGAATATTGTCATTATTTTGATTTTACGATAATGTTGTGTACGTTTGTTTGGGAGAGCAGTAATTTTGTTAAGAAAAGTGAAATAGGGAAAAAAAAACTGGGCGTAGATTAATATTTGGGTAATATTCTATGGCGGCACTCTCTAGAATTTTCCTTCTGAGTGAGTTATTTTCTCTTTTTTTTTATAAGTGTAGCATTTTTAAAATCAAAATTGTAGTTGAATTTATTTCTATGTATGACTAGTGCATTAGCTAAGTTGTTTTTGGGAGGTCACTTTTGTGCTCATAAATGCGTTTTTTTTTTTTTTAATTTCTACTTGTTTCTCCAATAGATTGGGAGTTGAAAATTTTATTTATTTTATAAAATGGCAACACTTCAGAAATATTATTGCTATTAGTGTTTGAAGATCTTAGTATATCCATAATGGTTTTGGAAGTGTTTGTAACTATTCTAAGATTATTTAGATGGGATAGGTCAATCTGGATAGTGGACGTGACAGAGTTGGTCGGTAGTATTATGTATCTGTTTTCATGTAATTTAGTATTGCGGATTATGTTATTAGTTTTGTTTCTGTATTATATTTAAAGAAATATATTTGTATATTATATATATATATATATATATATATATATATATATATATATATATATATATACACACACACACAGCGTGCCAAATCATTATTGAGAACTTTTTTCTAATATTTCAAAAAGCGTCCAATCAATTCACACAAAATTTTCACACAATGTTGGCAACACTGACCTACGCAATCACTGAAATTTTTGTACTGATCTGCGCAATGTAAACAAACTGGCGCCATATTTGTTATCAGCACGGTGATTTGAGCGTGCCAAATTATTAGAAAGGTTTAGTAAAATTCCCAGAATTGAGCAAACAAAACGTTTATTAATGTTGCATGTGAATGTTTATGATCAAAAGAAGCTAATAAATAAGATAATCAAACGAATAGTAACAGATACAAGCAAAGGCACAGTTTTAAACAAATTAATAGGGAATGTGCTTTCCCTGTTTTGAAATTACTTGAAGAAGTCGACTATCCAGAGAATTTGTTAATTGTAGGATGTCATCTGCTGTAATGCCGCGAGATATGTCAAGAATTGCTTCCCACAATTCAGCGTTGCTCCTGAATTGTCGTCCGTTGGCGTACAGTCTTCGCTTCATGATTCTCCAAATGTTTTCGATTGGATTCAAATCCGGAGAATTTGCTGGCCACTTCATTTTTCGAGGTCCATCGAAGCCTAACTGTTTCAAATATTCAGTAGTCTTGTGAGCAGCATTATCTTGCATAAAAACAATGGCCCTTCTGAAGGCAACTCTTTGCCTTTTCATCCACGGTTCAAGATGCTCCTTCATAAATTCTATGTATGCATCAGCAGTCATTTTGACACCATCTGGTACTCTCCATGGGCCCACTAATGTTTTTCCAATAATACCACCCTTGTTGGCGTCTCAAACGCTGATGGCGATTTTGTCCGTTT